TTTTGAAAAAAAAAAAAAAAAAAAAAAAAAAAAATATTTTGTCTTACAGAATTAAAGATAATATTTTTGTGAAGGTAATAAAACAAAAAAAAATTACGACCAATACTTACCAAGATACAGTAGTGGGAGGTTGACCCAAAACGATCAGGTGGCGGAAACATCAGCGACTTCCGCAAAATCGTATTTTTTTATTTTACGTTTTTTATATATTTTTCTTTTTTTTCTAATTTTTTTTCTTTTTCTAGTAACATTTGTGGTCTGTGAGACCAATATAATGTATATTGTACAAGTGTATACTCATTGTATTCAACACAGTAACTGCACTAATTTGTTTATCATTATATTGCTTACAAAACTTGTTTACAAGTTTATTGTAAACAAAATAATGAAAATATTAGTGAAGTTATTGTGCTGAATACAATGGTACCATATAGTACTATATGGTACAATGGTGCCATAGGGTGCAATGGTACCATATGGTACAGTGGTACCATTGCAGAATCTCTCCACCACACAGACCCATTCTCTCACATGTGGGCCTACCAGCTTTCTCCCGCTTGATTTGAAACCGCTAGAATTTACGCGTATAAATACGTCAGAAACAGTGGCACGTAAGACATATATATACGACCGAAACAGTCAAAGGGTTAACTGAGTTTTTCATCGTTGTCCAAGCCAATATTTTTATGCAAAAACGCATCGGTATCTGATTTTATCGCTTTCCGCTGGCATTGTTACCCAAGGGTCCACTGTACAGTACCTAATAGTATTTGGAATAAGTAACGTTTTTTCGTCAAAATATTGGCTCGGTGAACGTCACTGAACTCGATATAAGTCATTTGTCTGGAACGTGTCCATGTGGCCTAAGCGGCCCCAACATTCCAGGGTACAGCCAGTGTGCCACTGTATACCAGCCAGTGAGGACGATCCCACGCGCTCATTTGAAACATTTTGTATTATTCCATTCTTTTTATTGCTTGTAACTGCTAAATAAGCCACCATGGGCCCAAAGAAATCTTCTAGTGCCAGTCAGCCCTTTGTTAAAGGGCTGAGAGAGAGGGGATGGAATGTGCCTTTTTCAGTGATTCTGCAATATGTACAATACTAAAGCAGCAGGAGTCGATAAAGGCCATAGCCCCAGCCAGTGATAAAGTGTAGCAAGTAAGTTAAGCAATTAATTGATAGAAAAAGGACAGCACGAAACTGGCTCCTCCATTGTTGTTGGAGGTATATAGGGCTACTGACTAACACTGCCACCTCTGCTGCCGCCTTCACCACCACTATATAAGGCTTACCTTGTGGCTTAGCGCTTCTTTTTGATTATAATAATAATATATAAGGCTTGTCTTTCAATGGCCCTTATACACCCAACAACAAACAACACACCACCACTCGTGACATTAATGCCATACTTTATTCTAGTGTACATATCAGTTGAAACTGTCCAAATATATATCCATGTTGATGTGTGTAGTGCTTCATACATAGATCTACGTCTGATTTTACATGCTTTCAAATGGAGAAAATCAAGGTCGGAGCACTACGCACGTCAACATAGATCTACGTTTGGACAGTTTAAGGGTTAATATTGTTTATTATGTCATATTAGATGAACTGTGCTAGATAAATAAGCCATAGAGCTGATATTAGTGTCATATTGAAGGATTATCTTGTCCTGTCTCCCAACACAATTCCTAACATACACCAGATACAGACCTCTCTGTAACACTTTTTTGAGTGACAGGGGCCCAGTGACTCTCAAGCTGGTCCTAGTGGCATTAAAAAACAAAGAAGGGAAGTAACCCAGGATAAGGACTTGGTACCTGAAGTCTTTATGGAAAGGGATTTCCCTTCCAAACAATTGTAAACTCCTCCATCCTCTCCTCTCCTCCCATCTTCCATACATCACCATGTCTTCAATAAAGGCAAGTGTGATGTTATTATTGTTTTATTCTTCATGTATCATTGTTTTCTGTGTAGGTAAATGTATATTTCATGTAAAAAATATTTTTTTTTTTTAATATTTTTGGGTGTCTGAAACAAATTAAGTGGATTTCCATTATTTCTTATGGGGAAAATTAATTCGGAGTAAGTCATATTCGGGATAAGTCACTCTCTCTGGAACAGATTAATTACGTAATCCGGGGGTTCATTGTATTTATTTTTTATTTAAATAAAATTATCATGAATTATAAATATCTTACATTTACAGCAATGAGATGGACACAACCTTGACGCATGACAACTGTTTAACCCAACAGTAAGAACAGGATTCACGAAATCGTAATAACACAATTGCAAACAAACCAAAGAATGGTAGGGGTTTGAACCCATAGCCAGTGAGTCCTAAAATTCACAGGCCAGTGTTAATCGCTTGACCAGCTGGCTCAAATAAGATCCATCCAACTAGGTATATTTCTATACACCATAGGAAAGTTAGTATGGGCCACCACTGTGACCACAAATGCAGGTTTCTACAGATGACTCCCACACCAACGTAGCTGTGGCTAGTGGTTCATGCACTGGCCTATGAATTTTAGGACTCACTTGCCTGAGTTCAAACCCCACCAATTCTGTTTTTGTTTTTAATAATAACAGGACATAATGATAACCTGAGAAGGTTTATTCATGATTTTGATTATTTATTTTTTGGGGGGATGGTGTGTATACATGTTATGGGGATATTACTCTGGGCATATTTATTTAGTAAAAAAAAAAAATCTGTCTTATGGTTGCAGGTGACTGTATAGTTGTGGTGCTGGAAGGAAATACTTATGGAACCACCCATCAAATGTTTGCACAGGTATTGTACAGGGTCACATTGACTCTCCACATATTTATAGAGCAACAAGCAATGACAACTATAATGTAAGGAATAAAAAACTTTATTATTTTTGAGTACTGATGAATTACAAAGCGTGAAGAAAACAACTCAGTTTTTCCCTTATGTTCTTCAGTTCACTTGAGATGATTTTTTGATTAGATATAGTTTTCAAAAACAAAACTACTACACTCAACTGTCTATTTTCTTTTCTGTTACACCTTTTGTTTTACCCATCTTTTCTACTTTCTACATCAGCAACCTTACATTTTATGAAATAATGTAGTTCACTTTTCTGTCACCTAGACCGAAATATTTCTGAACTTTCTACTCAATGACTTTTCCTAAGAATGTTTTCCTTCCATTTTCCTTATCCTTTAATTTTAAATTTTATTTTTCCTTAACGCTTTGACTGTTTCAGTCGTATATATACATCTTACGAGCCACCGTTTTTGACGTATATATATTCATAAATTCTAGCGGCTTCAAATCAAGCAGGAGAAAGCTGGTAGGCCCACATGTGAGAGAATGGGTCTGTGTGGTCAGTAAGTACCATATAAAAAAAATCCTGCAGCACGCAGTGCATGAGGAGAAAAAAAAAATTCCAACTGTTTTTTTAATTAAAATGCTGACTTTGTGGTCTATTTTCATATAGTATTTATGGTTGTATTCTCGTTTTCTTGGTCTCATTTGATAGAATGGAAAACATATTATACAAACAGAGGTGATTTTGATTAGTTTTACTATGAAAAGAATTTTGAAATGGAGCTCAAAGTAGAGGAAATGTTTGATTTTTGCCGATGTTCAAAAGTAAACAAATGATGTCATTTTCCGATAAATGTCCAACTAGCCATTCTAATATGCAGTCATGAATGGGTTGACATTATTTATACAATTATTACAATACTGCAGTAGTCTGCATAACAGTAAATCTTTTATTTTTTTGTTTGAATAAAAATTCAGAATAGAAAGCAAGAGTAATATCAGAGGGGCCTGGAGATGTGACTGATGAACATAGAAAATGTTATTTTTGAGCCAGGAATGTCTGCATTGTTCATTCTAGACCCTAATTTGAAATTGTCATATTTTTTAAATTTTCGTGAAATTGGCCACATTGCAAATATCTGACCACGTTATTGGGCAATTGAAATCAGTAAATGGGCAGTTTCTTGTACTCAATCGATAGAAAAAAATGGAGTTCTAAAGAAACAGCTATGAGTTTGGTCGACTGGAACAATGGAACTAGCCGAAAATAGGGCTCAAAGAAGGCGAAATCGCCGAGGTCGCTAACTTCACGAGAGCAGAATTCCGTCAGTTTTCCATCAAATTTCGTTCTTTTGGTGTCATTACAATTGGGAAAAGATTCTCTATCATTTCATAAGAAAAAAATATTTTTTTTTTTTAAATTTTGCGACACCAGGAGACACCTCAGGATTTGGGGTTGCGACAGTCAAGGGGTTAATTACTGTTTCTCACATCAACACTAGCAGAGCTACCATGAACAATATGCACTCATCTGAGGCACCTCAGAGTGACCTTCACACTATCTCAATGTAGTCTTTCTAAACTTAGTATTCCTAATCCATGTTATCAATGATATGGCTAAAATTGTGTGTTCAAATATAGAAGCAGAAAAATATGAGAGGGCAAGTAATAAGAATTTAGGGAAAGGCATATTATATTCTTCTTTCTTTCAACACACCAGCGCTGTATCCCACCGAGGCGGGGTGGCCCAAAAGGAAAAACAAAAGTTTCTCCTTTCACATTTAGTAATATATACAGGAGAAGGAGTTACTAGCCCCTTGCTCTTGGCATTTTAGTTGCCTCTTACAACACACATAGCTTACGGAGGAAGAATTCTGTTCCACTTCCCCATGGAAATAAGAGGAAATAAACAAGAACAAGAACTAGTAAGAAAATAGAAAACCCAGAGGGGTGTGTATATATATGCTTGTACATGTATGTGTAGTGTGACCTAAGTGTAAGTAGAAGTAGCAAGACGTACCTGAAACCTTGCAGGTTTATGAGACAGAAAAAACACCAGAAATCCTACCATCATGTAAAATAATTACAGGCTTTCATTTTACATTCACTTGGCATATTATATATGGAATAAATTAAAAATGACTGAATTTCACTATATTAAACATAAAGCAACTGTCATATAATCAATACTTACTACACCATTTTGTACAGAGAAACCTAGCTGATATTTTGTGTCAGGTCTGCGGATCTTCACCTCAACCACAGGTGGACAAGGAACTACTGTAAGTTTCACTGCAGTATTATACTTTGTATTCTGAAACAGAAACATAAGGATTAGTTATTCAATATTTTTTATATCATTATGGTACTGTGCATCAAATCATTTGCGACATTAACTCCACTGATATTAGGTCAAATAAGATTAAAGACTGACCATTACTTGTGTTCCTTCTAATTAAAGACAGACAGTGTTTGATACAGCAATAGTTAACTTTCTCTGTATAATCAACACCGGCACTAATGTGGAATAAAATTTCAAAGTTAGGTACTGTAATGTGATGTGAGACTTACAAGTTTCAACACTAGTAAAACTGGTGTGCTTTTTTTTTTTTTTGTATATATACCATATACAAGAATTTTTTAAAAGGGAGGTCTTGTCATGTCCCTCCAATAATATCTGAAAAACTTGGGCTCATGTCATCTCATCACCTTTAAACTGATGTCTAAGATTAAATATTAATTAGTCAGATTTATTTATGAGAATGCAAAATTTTACACAATATACAGTAAACCCTCGATGAACACACAATCAGATAGCATGGTTTTTATCTTAACACCACTGGAAAAAATGCAACCCCTAGTATTCCACCAAACAAAAACAAGTCACTAGACAATATTCTTCTTGCTTAACTAATTTATTTAATATTTATATTAACTTATGCATGCAGAATTTATATACTATAGCACTTCTATAAAAAGTATTTAGTGCATTAATATCAAGATTTCTCAGTCAGTAGAAATAGAATACAACTTCATTCAGCTTATTAACCCAGAAGGTAGTAACTCAGCATCATACATCACCATAATTACGTGTCTAACAGTTTTTTACCTACTCTAGCCTAACAAAGTTTAAAGTAAAATACACCAAAGTTATTTTTATGTAGTAAAATACTAAAAAAATTGTTTGACAAATTTGGAAGTGTCCAAGTGGAAATCTTATTTTGCCATGTGTTCTTCACATTATGATACACAATTTTAAGTTAAGCACTGATTTTCAACAATATAACAGCATGTTATTCAAGGGTTTATTGTACTTGTTATTTTTTCTTAAAATTGTGGTCATTCAAGTTCCAGGTTAAATTTCCGAAGAAATTACTGAAAACATCTGCAAGCAACCAATGTCTGGTTTTCATACACAATTCAGTGATTTCACAAGATAATCCTTGTACATACAGTACAATAATGCAATAATACAATACTGTATAAAGATTCCAATGTGTTTACACTTTGTATGTGCAAAATTTTTCATTACACAATGTTCTGTATTGAATGTTGTATTGGTTTATACTGTGTAGCTCCAACCCTGTAACATAATACACATGCTATGTAGAAAAATGTAAAATGTTCCTTCTCTCTTATTGTTTCAGGAGCCTCAATCTGTTATCATCTTTTCATCCTAGGAAACTCAAAGTCATCCCTCACCCCAAGGTTAGACTTTCTTCTCAAAACACGAAACTTCATAAATCATACTGTTTCCAAGTATTTTTGGGTTATCCTAGGTTCTCTAAACATATGCTGCTATGTATGATAATTCTATGTAACTGTATTTGTGTATACCTGAATAAACTTACTTACTTGTGGACTTGCTTGGAAATTAAGTGCTTTGTCTGAGTACAACTCTACATATATTTCCTTGTCCTTGCTATGGCTGACAAACTCTCTACTAATCAGACTAATCATTAATCTGGCTTAGGTCATGCCAGCTAAAGACCTTGGTGAAAAAAATGATCATATACGCTTATATCAGGCAAAGCCTTTCTCTTGCTAGGATCCAAAACACTAGAGGCATATCTGTGTCCTCAGCATTGGAAGTTTTCAGAGAAGTGATTGGTGGAATGATGAGGTAAACAGTGTGATACAAGAGAAAAAGGTTGCTTATGAGAGGTTTTTACAAAGCAGAAGTGATATAAGAAGGGTGGAGTATATGGAGAGTATAAGAGAGGTGAAGAAAGTGGCAAAGGAGTGCAAAAGGAGAGCAAATGATAGAGTGGGTGAGGCACTGTCAATAAATTGTGCTGAACATAAGAACAAATTTTGGATTGAGATAAATAGGTTAAGAAAACCTAGGGAATGAATGGATTTAACAGTTAAAAACAGAATAGGGGAATTAGTAGATGTGGAGCTGGAGGTACTGGGAAGAGTGAGGGAATATTTTAACTGTTAAATGTTGATGAAGAGAGGGAGGTAGTATTTTATGCATTGGCCAGGGAGGTATAACATCTTTTAGGAGTCGAAGAAGAGCTGAATGTGAGTGTGGGGGAGGTGCTGAGGTATTAGGTAGAATGAGAGGGGGTAAAGCAGCTGGAACTGATGCGATCATGACAGAGATGTTAAAAGAAGCAGGTGGATGTAGTTTTGGAGTGGTTGGTACTTTTGTTCAATAAATGTATGAAAAAGGAAAAGGTACCTGGGGATTGGCAAATAGTGTGTATAGTTCCTTTATTATAGGTAGTATGTTGGTAGACAGCAACCGCCCACGGAGGTACTACCGTCCTGCCAAGTGAGTGTAAAACGAAAGCCTGTAATTGTTTTACATGATGGTAGGTGTGGCATGCAAAGAGTACGTAACCTTTATTCGGCGCATGTACACACCCTCATTTACAGGCTGTCTCCCCCAACCAGCGAACCAGGTTGCTAAGAGTTGATGATGGGGCCCCGTCGTTCAACTAGTGACCAGGTTCTAGCCAATAGGAAGATGGTTTTGGCAATCGCAGAGGTTATGTGGGTACCGCTCTCCTGTCTGCCCTTGTCATTCCCATTCTAGAGCTGGTTGAAGCACGGTCTGCTATCTTGTGGCTTCTATTTCTGCTTTGCTTACCGTGGAGTGCACTATACTTATCACTGTACATAGTGTACATATTGCTGTTCTAAATTGGTGAAGGATAATATAAGTAAACTTTTTCTGCTGTGTTTATTTTGCTCCCATTACACCCGGAATAACAGGCCATTTGGAATCCTGGGTTGTAATAGTAGGATTGCTGGTGTTCATTTTTCTGTCTCATAAACATGCAAGATTTCAGGTATGTCTTGCTACTTCTACTTACACTTAGGTCACACTACACATACATGTATGTACAAGCATATATATGCACACACCCCTCTGGGTTTTCTAATATTTTCTTAATAGTTCTTGTTCTTGTTTATTTCCTCTTACTTCCATGGAGAAATGGAACAGAATTCTTCCTCCGTAAGCCATGCGTGTTGTAAAAGGCGACTAAAATACCAGGCGCAAGGGGCTAGTAACCCCCTTCTCCTGTGTATATTACTAAATGTGAAAAGACAAACTTTTGTTTTTAATTTTGGGCCACCCTGCCTCGGTGGGATATGGCCGGTGTGTTGAAAGAAAGAAAGTTCCTTTATATAAAGGGAAGAGGGACAAAAGAGATTGTAAAAATTATTTTTTTTTATTAACACACTGGCCGATTCCCACCAAGGCAGGGTGGCCCAAAAAAGAAAAACCTTCACCATCTTCACTCCATCACTGTCTTGCCAGAAGGGTGCTTTACACTACAGTTTTTAAACTGCAACATTAACACCCCTCCTTCAGAGTGCAGGCACTGTACTTCCCATCTCCAGGACTCAAGTCCGGCCTGCCGGTTTCCCTGAATCCCTTCATAAATGTTACTTTGCTCACACTCCAACAGCACATCAAGTATTAAAAACCATTTGTCTCCATTCACTCTTATCAAACACGCTCACGCATGCCTGCTGGAAGTTCAAGCCCTCGCACACAAAACCTCCTTTACCCCCTCCCTCCAACCTTTCCTAGGCCGACCCCTACCCCGCTTTCTTTCCACTACAGACTGATACACTCTTGAAGTCACTCTGTTTCGCTCCATTCTCTCTACATGTCCGAACCACCTCAACAACCCTTCCTCAGCCCTCTGGACAACAGTTTTGGTAATCCCGCACCTCCTCCTTAACTTCCAAACTACGAATTCTCTGCATTATATTCACACCACACATTGCCTCAGACATGACATCTCCATTGCCTCCAGCCTTCTCCTCGCTGCAACATTCATCACCCATGCTTCACACCCATATAAGAGCGTTGGTAAAACTATACTCTCATACATTCCCTTCTTTGCCTCCAAGGACAAAGTTCTTTGTCTCCACAGACTCCTAAGTGCACCACTCACCCTTTTCCCCTCATCATTCTATGATTCACCTCATCTTTTCATAGACCCATCCGCTGACACGTCCACTCCCAAATATCTGAATACATTCACCTCCTCCATACTCTCTCCCTCCAATCTGATATCCAATCTTTCATCACCTAATCTTTTTGTTATCCTCATAACCTTACTCTTTCCTGTATTCACCTTTAATTTTCTTCTTTTGTACACCCTACCAAATTCATCCACCAATCTCTGCAACTTCTCTTCAGAATCTCCCAAGAGCACAGTGTCATCAGCAAAGAGCAACTGTGACAACTCCCACTTTATGTGTGACTCTTTATCTTTTAACTCCACGCTTCTTGCCAAGACCCTCGCATTTACCTCTCTTACAACCCCATCTATAAATATATTAAACAACCACGGTGACATCACACATCCTTGTCTAAGGCCTACTTTTAGTGGGAAATAATTTCCCTCTTTCCTACATACTCTAACTTGAGCCTCACTATCCTCGTAAAAACTCTTCACTGCTTTCAGTAACCTACCTCCTACACCATACACCTGCAACATCTGCCACACTGCCCCCCTATCCACCCTGTCATATGACTTTTCCAAATCCATAAATGCCACAAAGACCTCTTTAGCCTTATCTAAATATACTGTTCACTTATATGTTTCACTGTAAACACCTGGTCCACACACCCCCTACCTTTCCTAAAGCCTCCTTATTCATCTGCTATCCTATTCTCCGTCTTACTCTTAATTCTTTCAATAATAACTCTACCATACACTTTACCAGGTATACTCAGCATACTTATCCCCCTTTAATTTTTGCACTCTCTTTTGTCCCCTTTGCCTTTATACAAAGGAACTATGCATGCTCTCTGCCAATCCCTAGGTACCTTACCCTCTTCCA